GATGAAAGACAGCACCATGAGCTACCACTGCTACCTGGGAAGCCAAGAGCAGCTGGGAATCTAAAAGTATCCCAAGAGAGTGAATCTCTTTGGGAAAGGACGGACATTCTCCATTAACAAACAGAGCAGCTAAACTCCTATCGGCAACTCCTCAGGTTGTTTTCCCTAGCCAACATGCATCACCTCCATCATTTGTGGGTTGAGCTTCAGCCAACTTGTTTTCGCAGGGCCTGGACAGAACAAGGAAATTATTCAGTCTCAATCTAATGAGAAGCACAAACAAGGAGGTCATCTTCATATTGGTGACACTGTAGCCCCAAACATTAACACAAACACTCTCAAAGGGCCTTGTGCATGTTGCACGGAAGGGACAGCAGTATGGAACCACAGATGAGAAGAGCTTCACAGACCCTCTGAAACTATTCCAAAAGGAAAGAGCAGAACCAGTGAAGAACAGTTCCACTCACCCCTTTTACACCCTGCCAACATATCAGGACCACCACCTGGGCAACAATATGAAAAGCTCTAGTTCTTACAAAATCATCAGACTCTTGACTTTTGTCTATGGCCAGGAGTTCATCAACCAACAATATGAATGTAATCACTATAACATACCCAATCCTGAAACCAAAATGATAGGAATCCAGAAAATAAAAAGATGCCTACTGAAGTGTAATCTTCCCCAAAAATGAAAAGTTTGAAACATGGTAATAACTGGCAACTGGAGAGATAATTAACATTAAGAGATGGCTTCTTGAGAAAGGTCTAACCATTGTTTCTTTAAGGATGTTTGGTATCTTGTTCTCCCAAGAGAAGGTAACAAACCCAAAAAGCTTCTGACTGGCTTTCACCAGGCATGAGAAACCTGGATCTCTCTCAGGTAATTTTGTCAGATAATATCATGGAGTAATGATGTCCAAACTGGTGTCCATGGACCACTAGAGATCTGCAGAGCACTTCCTGGTGGTCTGCAGAGAGCTGGCTAGTCAGTTAGCACTTGCTCCTCATTCTTATTTCCAGATGCTAAAGTACATTAAATGAAAGCCTAAAATAAATTTAATACTTTTCTAATATTAATTTCCTATATAAGCAATTGTTGCAGTTGCCACGGGGATGTTATTCAATGTCAAATGAGAGGAGACATTAGGAATGTGATGTGAAGTAGCCCATGAAATATCTCTATTAAGATGTGGTGCACGCTACAAAAACGTTTGGAAAGCCCCATCACAGAGGAATCAGGAAAACACCTGAGCCATTTCCACAAAAACAAAATAGGGATTATGGAATTTTTAAGAAATCCCACAGCCTACCACGGTACTTGAAGAAATCAATAAAGTTCTCCCCCTTCAAAAATTACTAATTTTGATGAGCTTCTTTGTACATTGATTAGTTTGAATATTAAGACAATGTATTAAGCTTGCAAATAATTCAGAAATAAAATGAACTTTGTTGTGACTATCATAAGTGCACAGAATGTGTGACATGAGTTTAAGATTGTTATGTATATTTTATTGAAACAAATTACATTATTTTAAAAATAATAGTTTTTGGTGGTAGTGTAAAATATACACACACATACAAACTTGCAAGATTGAGGTCTCTAAAAGACACCCATGATTTTTTAAAAAAACTAAACCACCAGGTATGTTTTTTCTATTTATTACCTCTTTGTGCTTATATTATGAAAAAAGGCAAATAGGGGCATCCAAATGGCCTTTCTCTTCTATCATACCACTTCTTCTGCGTCTCTTCTTCAAAGTAAATACCAAGTCTTTTTAATCTCTCCTTGTGTGGAAGCCCCATCTTTCTCAAAGTCCCTAGTTATTTTTAGAGTCCACCTCTGAAACCTTTATGTTTGCTGCTATTTCTATTTAAGATCATTAAAACTGAACACAGTTTGCAAGGTGAAGATACACCAACTGTTTGCTATTACGTTCTTTCCCTTCTAATACCACGTAGAACATCCTATTTCACTATCACTGAGCTTTGTCTTCATTGAGCTGTCCACAGACATGCAGAGATCATTTTTCTGAGCATTTCCCTTCAAAACCCATCAGTGTATACAAGTATCTTAACTAGTCCCTTCTTACTTACTTGTCTATGTTGACTTTACTGTGCCACCATTCGGTCTTAAAACCCTGAGTTTTAGGTCCTACTTGAGTTCTCACAATCCTCTTTAGTCTTGGCTATTTAATTTTTATCACCTCTCTGTCACCCCTCTCTTCCAAATCCTTAACAAACATGAGATACTGCACACCACTTTGGAAATTTGTCTAGTTCATAACCCTAGAGCACCCCACTACTAACATTTTCACCTACAAGAACTGGCCATTAATTCACACTCTTTGCTTCACATTTCTGAACCACTTTTTAAATCCATGATGAGACTTTACCTCTCCCCCCACAGTTAACAAGTTTCTATAATAACCTCTTGGAAGGAAGTTTATCAAATTCCTTTTGAAATACCTCTATAAACTATCTCCAGCTCAGTCTCCATTAGTTGGTTTCGGGCCTGCTCCAGTACCCACTGACATCAGTGACAGTGAAAACAAGCCCTTAGCCTGCTCCAACCTATCTCCTTTATCTGGTATTCTGTGAGAACTCTTCAAAAGAGTTAACAGGAGAGAGTCACAATTTACCCTTACAGAATACCTATCACACGATGTGCACTCAGTTTAGGAGCTTAACACACTCTTTAAATGATTTTCCTATTATTTTTCCAATAGTTTTTAACTAAGCTACTTCGTTCTTGAATTCTTTTAGAACTAAGAGATAAATTACATCTTTGGCCCTGGTGATTGACTCTATTTTAATTTCACTTATTTTTTGATACTTCGATCTGTCACAGTATCTGACCTTTACTACTTATAAAGAATTGCTTTTTATGTCCACCTTTCCATCCTGAGGGACTCGCAGTCACACTGACCCTCCTGATGGCTTCCAACAGTACTCTAAATAAACTTAGAAGAATATCTTATTATTTTGTATACTTCTGGCTACTTACTCCTCAAGTTTCCTCTTGGTTTTTCAAATAACTACTGGAGATGTTTTCCATCCTATTAGTATAATTTGAGTCAATTTTTAAAAGGACACCATTTTAATTCTAAACCTCTGGTACCTTGCTGTTCAACCCCCCTCTACGTTTCCCTTGATTTTAATTGTTGTTGATCTGGAGTACCCAAGTCTTGTATGACTCTAATAAGTTTATTTTTAAACAATCCTCAAGGTGATTCTCTGAGTTTTAATCCCCTTAACTTTCTTTACATTATTTTTAACTAACTTCCCCATTCCTAAAAGAAAAAGAAAGGTTCTTGAAGTTCAGTTTCACAGTATTTGTTCCTCTAAATAACACCCCCACCCCAGAAGAGCTCTGTTTAAGCTCCAAAGCTTGTCTCTCTCAACAACAGAAATTGGTCCAATATTGTCACTTACATAAAACCTCAACCATACATTCTATACCATGGTTTAATATGAAATAAATAAAAAGAGAAGCCTCTCCCTTTGTCTGCTCCTGAACAAACTCTCCCAAACATCATTTCCCCCCTCCTCACGAAAGTTGTGGAGATATAAAGTTCAGTCACTTCATAGCTGACTAGCTGTAAGTCACCTGGGGGCTCTGTTTTGTTCGGGCAATCCCTGTGATCCCAGAAACTTACTGTTGTGACACCAAGATCATAGCAATGCTGTTGACTCAGCGATAATGCAATGTAGCGGTTACATGACAAAGGGGCAAAGCAACGTATTCCGAACCCACGCTCCCCCAGCAGCGATACAATGAGAGAGGGCAGGGGCGGCGGCACCCATTCTGCTGAGTGTCACTGACCGCAGGGTTAAACGACTGCAATAGGTTAGTTTTGCTGTTAAATTGTTAACACGCTGCTAATTGTCAATGGGCTCCGAAGTCCCCTCCCTTTGCTCTAGGCACCGCTTGAAAACCGTGGGGTGACAGTCACAGGGGGCTGCTCTGGGGCGTGGGGGGCTCAGTCACAGGGGGCTGCTATGTGGTGGGAGGTCAAAGGGTAGCTAGGAGGTGGGGGGGGTCAGTCATGGGGGGCTGTTAGGCGGTGGGAGGTCTGGGGGCTGCTCGGGGGTCTCGCCCCCCACGTCCCTGGGCACACTGGCGTGGCTCGGTGCAGCCCCCGAGGGGCCCTGCCGTGGCAGGGGCGGGCTGTGAGCTAGCGGGTTCTTCCTCCCCCCGCCGGGCGCGAAGCGCGCCCAGCGGCGCCCCTGCTCCCGGGGCAAGCCGGCTCCCACCGCAGCGGCCGGGGGCTGCCAGCCCGGCCCCTACCCGCCTCTCGGGGTCTTGCTCGCAGCCCGCCTTGCCGCTGCGGGGCCCACGCTCGCCTGTCTCCGAGCCCCCTTCCCCCGCCCATGTGCCGCGGGCCGGGCGGGCCCTGCCCGGCGCTCGGCTCAGGCTGCTCCGGCCATTGTGCCCGTCACAGGGGAGCCGAGCCGCCCGCGCGCCACAGCGGAGCCCGGCCCAGCGGCCGCCGCCTCCCCGGGACAAGCTCCCGCGAGCCCGGCCACCGCAAGCTCTGCGTCCGCTGCTGCAAGCCCCCGGCCGGCAGCCAGCCAGCCCCGCCGTGCAGCCGCTTCCCCGGGCCCCGCACAACGAGCCCACCAGGCAGCGGTGCAATGGTCCGGAAAGCAGGCGTGAGCCAGAGCCGCCCCCGCCCCCGCCAGGACAATAGCCCCCCATGACCGGGGCGGGGGGGGTGTTAGGCACTGTGCTGAGAACCGAACATTTACAAAACAACCCCCCCCCCCAAAAAAAAAAGCCCCAGCAGCGAGGGCCGGGGGCAGCGAGGCTCCTCCTCCTCCTCTCCAAAAAGGCCTGTTGGAAAACTGCACACACCAACAGCAGCGGCGGCAGCTCCGCCGCCTGCCTCCCTCTGCCCCGGAGAGACAAGGCGGCGAAGGGCGAGAAGGGGCGATCGCAGCCCGAGCGGGGTGCGGGGGAGGAAGGGGGGGGAACAGCAGGCCCGAGCCCTTTGTGTTACCTGCCGTGGAACCAGTCCTTGCAGGCATCGCACTCGATCATGAAGCGGGTTACGTCGTAGGGCAGCCTGCAGATGCAATAGACGGGCACCGTCGCCATGTTAGCTGAGCTCCCTTCAAAACAACACTGGACTCCCAGGCAAGCGAGCAGGGCTGGCGGCGGCTCCTGCCGCTCGGTAGCTGGCGGTTTCTCCTTCCAAAACGCAAGCAAAAAAATTGCAATGTCGAGAGACGGAGCGGGGAGGGGAAGGGGGGGGAAGAGAAGAAGGGTGGAAAAAAAATCAGATAATGCAATTACAGCTCCTCAAGGGCGAGCTCGCAATGTCAGAAAAATAATAAAGGGCTTCCCAAACTTTGGCTGCATGGCTCCTCTCTGGCTCTGCGAGCTCCAGGCAAGCTGGGGCTTTTTTGTGTGTTGTTGTTGGTAAATGATTATTATCCAAAATGTTTGGCGAAATGCATTATATTGCGTGCCCCCTGGTGACAGTACAGTACCGCGGCTTTTCATAAACACTCCGAAATGTAGCCCTTTCCTTGTAATGTCCTTACGTCAGCTTGCAACATTGTAATATTTCCTCCGATGGGGCTGGGGAGGGAGGCTGCAGAAGGGGAGGCGAATCTGAAAACTCAGAGCTTGGCACCGGGCAAAATACTAGCGAGGGGGGGACGGGGCTGGGAGGGGAGGTAACCCACCTTGCTGAGAAAAACAAACAGGGCTGGGTGTAAAAACGGGGACGAGTAAAAGGAGGGAGATTTAAAAGAAATAAACGACGAGTGGAGATGGGCTGCTCGGAATGCCAAGATCTCGCAATCGTTCCGCACTGCAAGGAGAGACTTTAAAAAAACTGGCCTTAAAAACAAAAATCGGTCTCCAGATTCGAGAGGGACAGTGTGTGTGTGTGTGTGTGCCCTCCCGCCAGACTACACACCTGCAAAACGAGTGACACCTGCCAGCAGGGCCGAATAAAGGAGGTGGGGGGATTAAATGAACTTAACTGTTAATATAACAGGTCTGAGCGCGGGAATGTCCAAAAAGGGTCCTAAAAGCGGGGCAGCGACTCCGCTTTTAAAGAGACATAAGTAAGGGCTTTAAAAAGTTATTTCGTTCCATGCTGCACACAGCGCAGGGCGGCCAAGGAGCTGTGCTCCCTGCAGAGACGGGAATCGGGAGTGAATTCAAACAAGGAACCCACACCGCCAGATCTATATTCCCTTGGGAAAGGATTCTGCACCAGGGAGGCGTCCGAGAGAGCAGCCTTCCCAACGCTTGGAAGGGGGGGCTGCAGGAAAACGCTTCTGAAGACACACAGCTTCCAGGCAACACTTTTTGGAACAGGCTTGTTTTGTTTGCGGTGCCCATCGCCGACAGCGCGTTGAAGGAAAATAATAAAGCTTTCCGCACGGACCAGCTGGTCCCTTGCGTTCTGTGGCGCTTCTTTTCTGCGATCCTGTTTGCAAACGAGAAGCATAAAACATGTCCTTTATGATCAGTTTCTGTTTGCACCGGATGTGACACTTGCACAGCGTTGTTTCCAATATGCCTTGTCCATTGAATTCCAGCCGCCGGTTCAAACTTTTGTAAAATGTCACTTGTCCCTTTTTCTCATGGTGATTCCTAACTTTAGTCATTTGATTGATTCAAATGGTCATAAACCTTCCCCCAGAGCTATTAACATACTCTCCAGCACCCTCAAAAGCAGCAGTTTGTAAAGTACACTTACAGCTGTTGCCAAACTTACTATACATGATGTGTGTGCACACACCCACATATACACATCATTTGAAGTTTAACATGGATAATTTAGGTGTATATGCATACACCCATAAACATAAGTACAGCATGTAGCTCTAAACCCAAAAACTTTATTTTGATGACAACCAACTCTATATCCAAAACAGAGATGGTTAAACTTTGAAATAACATGATTTTAACTCAATAATTGCACCGTGATGCCTAAAGAAACAAAAGCTTTAGAGAATTATTAGCAGGGGTCTAAGCAAGGTAGGGGAGGGATACATGAAAGACGTACGTATTTTGAAGGGAAAACTTGTATTTGATGGAGGTATTTTGCAATATTTAATTTCCTTAAAAGCCACATAAGGCTACCTAAGCCAGCCCATCCACCCTTAAATTAGAAATGGAGTGACTAGGCCTGTAACCCTTAAAAGATGAAAGTAAATGTACTGGCCCTATGAAGTGCCAAATCAATGCCGTAGGGTATTGGGGACATGTTGCTAAAGGCAGCTCATGAGTAAAATACTATACAGCCCAAAACAGCAATCATCATCCACAAAGAGAAGAGTGAGCAACAGCAGCAGTGTAAGAACCAAAGCTTGAACTGATGCTTCTCTCTGAAAAGTGAAAACCTCTCTTCCAGCAGCGGGAGTCTGCCAAGCTGGTAAAGAGGCAAGGATCATGGTAGCTTGTGTAATGGACAAGAGAGGAGATTCTCATTTCCACATAAGGTTAGTTCTAGGCCTCTCTGCTGGGATTACCAACAAGGTTAACATTTGTATCAGTGGGACCTGCCCACCAAGACTGGAGTGAGACTGACTAGTCATTTTATGTAGGCCACTGACTGAGACAGCAGTGACTTTTAGTCCCTCCCATGCTGGCTGCAGTGTTAGAAGTGAAAGTCTCTATCCCATAATCAATATACTGAGCCATCCACTTCCCCTGGGATTGTTTGGTAGTAGATGACCTTGAAATGATTGTTAAATATTTTATGATGGCTTTCCTTTGTAAACAGTGTAGGGTTTCAAATTTTCCCCATAAGGCTGAGGTCAAAGTATTGCACAGTATTGTATGCACACCACAAACTCAGATTACTAACGATGCAGTCTACCAGGGTTACTAATATAGGCCTGCATTTTCAAAAGTGGATAAAGTCTTTGGGACCCTCCAATTTTTTGAGTGCCAAGTTGAGTCACCTTGAAGACAGTGCTGAGTACCTGCTAAGACACAGGTCCCTTTTCGGATGTCTCAAGATGGACACCCAAAATCATTCGTCACTTTTGAAAATTAAAAGGAGACAAAACCTATAGTGCTCCAGCCAGAAAAACAGGAGACCGGGTCTAGGGGAGTAAAGCAGCAGGGGAAAGGTCTAGTAAAGCATTCAGCACTCTTGCCAAAATGTAATACAAGGGAATTCCCTCCATCACAAGGCTACTGTGAATCTTAGTAAGGGAAGGGGGAAAAAAATAGAAGCAAGTGATCTTACCTGGCTTTGGTCTCAAGATGAAATGTATATGAAGGAACCGCTCTGCAGGTGCCATTTTGTTTTCCTTTGAACATGGAAACCTAATTTTTAGTGCCCTTCCAAAACAAAGTTTTCAATTTGATGAAAAGCAGAGTAATAAAATCTGACTGTGATCATTACAGGATAGGTATAGTGTGAAATGCAGGTATCTGATCACATGCCAAGCAATAGTCCTCTTATTCTATGGAGCCTGCTGCCATTGAAGGCAATTTCCTATTGATTTTCATGGGAGTAGCACTGAGCCCAAAAAGTTTAAGGAGGCCGAAGAGTCCACCCCTCCTGGGAGTCAAGTGGGTAGCTCTAGCACTTTAGCTAGGAGCCCTGTAGGGATGAAATGAAGCAGTACTCCCACAATCCCAGAGAAGCTGGATGTTTCCATTAAACAGGATTTCATGTTAACGAAGTCAACATTTACACTGGAGTCAGTAGGCTTTAGAGTTTGAAATGAATGGAGCAGTTCACATCTGTCAGAACTATCACTTCAGTCTGCTTGCTGAGTCAAGACGACAACACTACATCAGTCACTTTCAGACATTTACCTGGACAATCTAGGGCAAGAAAGTTAATTGCTTTTAAAATAAAACAATATATTTCCTTTTTAAATGAGATCATATTTAGCCCTCATCTAATCTGGTATATATCATGTGTTTAACCAGTATCTGATTAAAAGACAACTCTGTTCCAGTTTAATATCATCACAAAGGACCCAATGAATAATGTCACCATGTGTATTGTTGCATTTGAATTTGCTCCAGGAATGTGGAGTCTATTACTCTCTCTGTGTACTCATTTCAGAACAAAGATAAAAAGGAAAGCTCAGCTGTTTGATGTAACCATGGGGATTACTTCAATTCATTATTTCACTTGTGCTCAATGGCTGGGCTGTAGATTTTAGCAATGTGGGTCTGAGGAAAGACGTAGTAAAGTTTTTTTTAAGTGGAAAAAAATAGTAAGGAGGTAGTGGTGCCCAGTGGGTAGAGCACTGGACTGGAACTCAGGAGAGTGGGGTACTATTCCCAGCTCAGGCCTTGAGCTGCAGGGTGACCTTGGGCAGGTTGTGTCCCGTGCCTCAGTTTCCCTGTCTATAAAATGGTGATAAAGATTCTGCCCTCCTCTGTAAAGCACTTTGAGACCTACTGATGACAAGTGCTACATAAGAGCTAGGTATTACAATATATCCCACTGTATACATCCTGTCATACAGAGACATTTATAATTTGCTCATGGGTCACAAAAGATGATGTATAACACAAGATGTACCCTAAATTCACAGTTCGTACATTTCTTTATTCTGTTCCTTAGGTTTGATTTCTGCATACAAAACAATTCCTATGCAGGCTCTGGACCCTCTTGACAACTAATTACGCACACAGTCCAACAAAGACACAAACAGTCGTAACAAACCAACTGCCTTCCACTGCACTAAAAGAGGCCACTCCACATGGCTCCCTCCACATGGCTCCCAAAGGAGCACCAGCTCAAACACCTCCACTGATCTCAGCTATAGCAGTAGGAGAAAGAGAAAGAAGAGGTCTCAGGAAGGTGATACCAGGCTATTTAGAGTTTTATAGGAAAAAAAATAAATCCTTAAAGTCTCCCCAATATCAATAAGCAGCCTATGTAGATCACAGAGCACTGGAACCACATGCTCATGGTAACAGGTTCTTGTTTAAGGAGCAAACCACCATATTCTGCACTACCTTCAGTTTCCAAACTGATTTAAAGCATAGACACAACCAAAGATAATTGATAAGTTATAACCAAAGATAAGTCCAGTCTTGAAGCAACAAAGGCCTGGATGATGGGAGTGTGGTCTGCAACCAAGATGAAGGATCACAAAATTGTGACCCATTGCAGATTGAATAAAACCATCCTAGTCTCTGCTGCTATGATTATCTAACAGCAGCTGGGAGTCTAACAACATCTACAAGCCACAAACTGACACTGAGCAGAAAATACACCCTCAGTCAGAGGGGCAGATATAATCGTTTCCAGATTCCCCAGATGCTTCTTCAGTCTACCAGTTTTCTCTAGATGGGGTCACATCCAAAGCAGTCTCAGCCACACCTTAAAGCTCCCACCATAAACCAAGACATGGATGATGCACCCTCCAGGTTGGATGAAATGAAGAGAGGGGTTTTGTAAACGTATACACTGGACTGCAGTTACACTGTAAAATTGTAGGGGATGGGCCTTAAAAGCAACCACTCATGACCAGGCCTAAATCCTGTATGGACATATTCAGGCAAAACATTCACCGACTCTACTGCAGTTTGGTATGAGAAAGGACTGAAGAAATGGGCTTTGAA